AGTTTTATCAGTGGCGAATTTTTGCTGTCTATGTAAAATTTTAATATACCACGTAGATCATATGAAAAATGATCTACGAACACCCTACCCTTAAGTAACATGTATTTATTCTTTCGCGCGAATTGATAAGTTGATTGGTTTATGATCACGTTTGGGTCTATATGTAAATAAGTATGAATGCCGCACTGTATAAATGACGTTACAAAAACAATTGAGAATAGATTAACCTTTTATCGTAACATGGGTGACACCAGGGTTTTGAGTATTGAGCCAGTTTTAGTATCCAAAGATCCGATATTTGAAGAAACTTCCAAAGACCTCTCCTTAATGTCTAATAGCGAAGTAAGTGAGCTTCCTGTGACACACACCGAAGAATTTAATGATCTTGACTATGGTAGTAGTGAAGAAATGCAGGATCAAGCTGTTCATGGACCAAGGCAGAGACCTAGGGCTGGGCGTAGTATCATAGGCGATTCAACCGCTGAGAAAAACAATGAGGGTGCAAGCGAAGTAACTAAAAGGCTATCAAGCTGGTTTAGCTCTCTTTGGATTTCTCCTCAAGAAATAAGTGGCGACGCTTCTGATAAAGACGATCCAGACTTTGCTCATTTTAAGAAAGGATTGTTTAATAGTTTCAATAATATAAAAAGTGAATCTACTATAGATTCTTCCAAAGATAATTCAATTTGGTTGATGGGTGTACGCTATGAAGCAAATAACGATCGCATATCAAGTGAATTTAGTGGTTCTTTTTATGAAACAAGTTATTATTATTCAACTCCTGGTACCTTTCCTCACATTTCGATGCAACAACCAATATTATCACCGGCTAATTTTCCCGCAGATTTTTACGATGATTTCACTTCACGGATATGGTGTACATATAGACATAATTATGCTCCAATAAGACCAACGAACTTTACAAATGATGGAGGTTGGGGTTGCATGTTAAGATCTGGGCAATCATTGCTTGCTAATGCGTTGATATTACAATTTTTGGGTAGAGGTCTGTAAGTTTTCTTTACATATATTAATTAAAATTATTGATGATTAAATTTTTCTGCCGCAACTATTGCTAATTTTTTTTTCTTTTTAATTATAGAATGGCGAAGGGCACCTAAAGGAGATGATACATGGAATACCTATGTAAAGGTTAGATAGTTAAATTATATTTATATGAGTGTCGCTAAGAGAAAACCGGCAATTCCAAAAATAGATTGATTATGAATTTCATAATAAATCTATTTTTAGAATTGCCGGTTTTCCCTTAGCGACACTCATTATGAATTATACTTATGAGCAAATATAATTAACAATAATAATTAACCTGTTTTTCTAAAGATTCTTATCTGGTTCATTGATGATATGTCATCACGATGCCCATTCTCCGTTCACCGTATTGCATTATTGGGCAAACAGCTTGGAAAGAATATTGGAGAGTGGTTTGGACCATCAACAGCATCTCAGGCTATAAAGTATGAAAAAAATCTCTTTCATTATTATTATTATTATTATTATTATTTCATTTTCAGAATGAATTATCCTTCTTCTTTTCAATATTAAGACTATTGATTGAACTTTATTTACTTTCCTTGTTACTGAACCTTGGTGCTATATAGGGCTCTGGTCGAAGATTTCCCTGCCGCACATTTAAGCGTATACGTGGCCACTGATGGTGTGGTGTACAAAAATGAAGTTTACAAAGCAGGTAAAAATAACCGAGCGGGCAAAGATTTTCAGTCTGTTTTGATTCTAGTGGCTATCCGGTTGGGAATTAATAACCTAAATCCAATTTATCATAATGCGCTCAAGGTAAATTTTACTTGTTTATTTCCGACTAGTTCGTATGACCTATTCTCTACCTTTTCGTAATAATCACTCTAATAAATTGTTTAGGAATGTTTTAAATTTCCACAGAGCGTCGGAATAGCTGGGTACGAATATCATGTAACTGTGGTATATCTATAAGAATTTCCCGATAGTGTATTAATTAATAATTTTAATTTGTACAGTGGTAAACCATCATCATCATATTATTTTATCGCAACACAAGGTATATTTGTCTGTTTTGTGCGTACCATGCAATTCGATAAAAAATAAATCAATTAATATTAAACATATATATTTATTTACAGCTGATGATCTATATTATCTTGACCCGCACCATTCAAGACCTGCACTTGAATTAAAATCATTGGATGAGTATACCGAAGAAGTAAGGAATTAAAATTTTTACTTTTTTTTTTTTTTTTTTTTAAATAAAACACGAATTGGCGTGCATTTACTTTCATTTCACACTTAATTTTTTTTTTTTTTTTGCAATAGGAACTGTCAACTTTTCATTGCGATACACTACGTAAAATACATATATCACAACTTGACCCTTCAATGCTTCTTGGTTTCTATTGTCGGACGAGTGATGAATTTGAAAACTTCTGTGAACGAGTCGAAGAGGTATGTGAAATTATCGCTTTTTTCGAATTAGTGCGGTAATCGAATCCCATAAATTTTTTTTTGTGAATCCCACTGGTTTGCGAATATTGCACTGCACAATGACTTGACTGTGATGATACAACTGCTAACATGCAGGATACAATTGCAATATCCGGTAAACCGCCAGAATTCACAACTCAATTATAGATCAATTTAAAAAGAGCGATAATTTATTAACAAGCATTGTTAGTTATTTCAGTAAATTTTTATTTACATTTGATAAATTATTTCACAAATAATAATATTTAGATCAGCGAAAAATACAAATCAGTGTTCACTATCGCCCAGGAGGCGCCAATATATGGAGATGATGTTAGTGATTTGGATGTATTCTCAGAAGATGACGATGATGAATTTGAAAAGTTTGAAAACGATGATGAAAATGTTGATGATATGTAAAAAAAATATATCCCGATAAATTTAGGAATTTCGAAATAACAATTTGTGATTACGGCCATTTAAAAACTTTTTTGTTTATTAATACTTACATCCTTTATTATTTTAGTTTCTCTTTGCAAATTTAAACATATATGTAGGATATGGACATTTACTGATTCGTATTCTATGGCAATGTTATCAATTTACCAGATTTACATATAACAGTTTTTTGTTTAACTACACATATTACTCATTTTAGTTTGACATACTCAAAATTTATCATCATAGTCTTAAACGGATAGATTTATCTTGATACATATAACGATAAAAATAATATCAATATAATCTGAATATACGCATTTCACATGATTATTTTAAGTTTTCAATATTGTGTTATTGCCGAGGAATGTAGGAGCGAATTCGTTTGTAAAATACATTAATTCAACCATTTTTAATACATTTTTGCCAAAATCCGTTAAAACATCGGTCAAGTATAATATCGGGTAAAATAATTCAACTAACGTCAAGTTCAAAAAACTAATTTAATTGGACATTAATATCATGTAATTATTGTACTGTACAATATATTATATTGTGATTACCCATTTTACCCAAATCTTTAAATTGAAGGTGAACTAGCTACGCCTTAGGAAAATTCGAAAGTAGTTTGGACCAAGTATTTCTTACAAATTGTGTCGTTACTTAAAGTACGTAAAATACCGGCTATCCCGATAAAATGTATCACATGAAATAGGGCATACCTTATGTCAAAATTTAGTGAAGAATTTTTTACGTAGTGATTTGACCCGTCTAAAAAATCCCCACCCGGGGGCTCAGAAACAGTTTAGTGTGTACAGGCACCGTTAAAAATCTGCCGACGATTATCATACC